ATTACTCGTTCCTGGAAGGATCAATTCATGCAGTCATCGTAATTCCTTGCAGCTGCTGCCGGATTGCGTAAGCTTGAGTTAACCCAATCTGCAACTCATCATCGAGCTGGCCCATAATTTCCATTTCTTGGTTTTAATTTAGAAGTTCTCAGTGCGGAAGTACCAATTTTTGATTTAAAAATAACGCTTTTCGATGGACCAGTATTGCTTTCAGTCCTTGGTAAAAGGGGAATTTTGCGGGTATTCATGAATCACTTCTGAATTCACTACTGCTGCTCCTGTCTTTTTTACGAACCACCTTTAGATTCAAGAGTACCACAATGTCGTCACTCCATGCTATGATAGTCAAATGCGCCAGCTATACGTGGTTCTCATGTACAGGCCCGTCAAAATTTTTGGCAGGAAAACTGCTAACTCGGGAACCTGAGAAGCTGGAAAGCTGAAATTTTAAGAGAAATTCCCTGTCCATGCACCACACATTTGTACAATTAGCTTCCTGAACTTCTTGCTGTGCATTTAGAATGGGACATTTTTCTGGAAGAAATAATAAAATGCTTGCATAAATGTTTAGATGATAAGCTGTTGCATCCGATTGCATGCGCCTATTGTCTGGACGAGAATGCTGGCACGGATTTGACGCCGCTCAACGAGACTTATGGCACCGAATCGGGTGCAATGCACATCTGCGGGCATGTATTTCGGTGCGGCGAGCCAACCTATTCGTGCAAGTTCGTTATTTTTCGCACCATTTGGGCATTAAAATTTTGCTATCCACCAAATGGGCTAATATAATGACCGGTAACACTGCCAATGACCAACGTTGACCACCATACCTGTAATACGTGGGACAGTTATTAATTCACCTCATATTGTTTTTATGGTTTTTGATGTTACAGGGAATGCGCATGCGATCCGACATGTGTACTGTGCTATCAATGTTTCCTGAATTCAACGCATAAAGCGCACAAATATCGAGTAAGCGGCCCTTTGATAATAGCTTCCACCTTCCCATAGGCACATCCAGGGCGGATTCCTGGGAGGAGCGACGGAGTGTGGGAAGGACAGTCTCATCCGCGCTCTGGAATTATACAAAAACTAGGAATAGAGTTATAACACACTGCTACTTAAAATTACTTTAGGCTTTAGTTTTAGCTTTAGACTCGGGTTTTTGCGCCCCTTCCTCCTCTCCCCCCCCCCCCCCCCCCCCCCCCCCCCCC